TGCCAGGAAAGTCAGTATGGAGAGGCCTCTGAGGAGAGTTCAGGCTCCAACACCATAGACAGACAGCATGGTGGAGGTTTTGAGGAGAGTTCGGGCTCATGAGACAGAGTAGGAGCTTAAAAAAACAGTATGTATCTGTGTGCCTGTGTGTGTCAGATGTGAACAGATGTCTGTGAATGCTAGAAGAGGGCATGACAGATCCCCTGGAGTTGGAATTATAGGCTCTTGTTAGCCACCATGTGGGTGCTGGGAACCGAACTCAGGTCCTCTGCAAACGCAGCAAGTGCGCTTAAGCCATGAGCCATTTCTCCAGCCCCACGAAGTCCCTTCTCATAGGTTTCAGAGGAAGGGGCCATTCCATGCAACATAGGTGATGTACAGTAGTCTACTCAGCGGGGCGGGGGGGCTTACTTTGTGAGGAAGAGAGGAAAGAATCTTGTTTGGGTGTGACTTGGAGGATGTGGGGAACTGGGGAAGAGGGACACATTTAGTTAAGATGCATTCATTACACAGGAGGTGGGGATGTGCCACGGGTAGCCTTCTGATATCTTGGATGATAGCCCTCTGATATATTTTGGTATCTGATAGCCTGGGTCTGCTGTGGGGAAGTAAGAATTAGGGTGGTAGGGCAGGTAAGATGGCTCGGTATGTAAAGGCACTTGCCACCAAGTCTGATGACCTGAGTTCAATCCCTGGAACCCACAAGGTAGAAGAAGAAACCTGACTCCTCCAAGTTTTCCTCTGACCTCTACATGTGCTCATATGCACATATCAAATAAACTTTTAAAAATTACAGCATCTGCTATTCTGGAATCCAGGCACCTGGAGAGTCTATTAGAGGGTAACATATTCACAGATAGGTTCTAGGTAAGGGGCTTGCCATTTCCTTTAAGGCAGCTGTGAGAAAGAGGCTGCCGCAGGTAGCCCCCAGCCCCAAAGCTAACATTTTTCAAACTATAAAAGCACCTGGTTCTAGTGCTTGTCCCACCCACTAGATTTTAAAAATTTCATTCTACTCCAGGCTCCGACACTATAGACAGCATGGTGGAGGCTCTGAGGAGCATTTAGGCTCCAACACCGTTGTCCTTGCACCTAAAACAACACTTGCTACAAGACTCCTTCAGGTCAGCCCAGGAGCTATTATAAAAATCTATAAAGTCCTCCACTGGGCATGGTGGTGCACACCTTTGATCCCAGCACTTAGGAGGCAGAGGCAGGCGAATCCCTGTGAGTTCAAGGCCAGCCTGGTCTACTAAGTGAGCTCCAGGCTAGCTAGAGCTATAGGGAGACCCTGTCTCAAAAAGACCAAAAAAAAAAAAAAAAATCTATAAAACCCCAGGAGCTATTAAATCCTATAAAACAACATGCAGAAGTCTATGCACATTGGGAAAACAGCTCATGGCTTTGTCAGATTTTAAATGGGCCTAATATCTGAAAAAGGCCAGGAATCTTTCCCTAGATTCTGAAGGGGTTGTCTTTCCTTCAGAACAGTAGCCCCCACTACAATGTAAGCTGCAAGAAGACCAGCATATTTATGGTCTGATATACCCCAAGTGCCTAGAACAGTACACAGTGTATTCTTGGTGTAAGCGTGAAATGACCAATCAGTCACAGACAACTGCTTCAGGTGTATAGATTATGTGCCTATAAGCTGTCCGTGACTGAGTAACAAATTAACCCAAAACATAACACCTTGAAACATAGCTCAGCTTCTCCAGGTTAGGCGATAAGGTACAACTTAGCTGGATCCTGGCCTTTAGGGTCTCTCTCAGGCAGCCAAGCATGGTCCGGGGATGCTGTCATCTGAAAGCTAGGCAGGGGAAGGATCTGCTTCCAGGCTCACTCACGAGGTAGGGCATTCAGTTGCTTGCCAGATGGGCCTCTTCACAAGTCAGCTTACAACAGAAAGCTGGCTTCATCAGAGTCAGAAGGGAGGAAGGGAGGGATAGATGGAGAGTACAGAGTATGCAATCTTTGGTGACTATATCCTGGCACCTTTGCTATGTTCTGTTTATTAGAAGTAAGTCTCTTGGTCTAGTGCATGCTGCACATGGGGAGGGAACTCACACAAGAGCATGAATACCAGGAGGTGTCCCCTGAGGCCCCAGGACTCTTTGAAGCTGCCTACCACAGAATACACTGAGAGGAAGGCACAGACCAGAGCCTGCTGCGTCAGGTAGATGAGGAAAAGCAGAATCAGTGGCGGGAGATTGGACAGCTGAGCCTCTGCCCACCATCCAGTCAGCTGCCACCACCAAGTAACGCTGGTTGTTCACAGATCTAATTTTCTGAAAGTTGCCAAAGTCTAGATTTCGTGAGATATTTCCTGATTTTTAAAACTGTAATAATCAAGTAAAACCACATTGGAGATTAAGAGTTTATGGCTTCTCCCTATGACAGGAAGGAACTAATTCATTTTTATTTCTCATCCCCTTTGAATATGCCTGCTGCGTCTCCTCTCCCCACCTCACTTGTTCACACTGGAAGCAAGAACTTAGCCAACTCACTCTATGTTCCACAGACAATGGTCTGTAGCATGTCACAGGCCAACAATAAATATTGTCAGATGAAATGTGAAATTGCTGCAACATTATCTCCTTGGGGACCTCTCCCCTTAAGCCAAGAGAGGAGGCCAAAAGTGGCCTTTGGTCTCTAACTTGGCATCCCGGCTCTGCTACTCACCTGCTACATGGTGTTAGGCAAGCCATTCACTTTTGACAGACTCACTTTTTCATCTGTAAAATAACAATCTTGTCTGCTTCACAAGAGTTAAATAAACTGGACGCCCTCAGCACAGAGCTAACTGTACTATAGCAAATCAATGTGAGCTGCATCCTGTATCACCCCTTTCTCTCCCGTCTCAGGACCATGTCCCTCCTAAATCCATTATGTACTGTCATCTACCACCATCTATCTAGCTGAGAAGAACAGTGAGCCTCTAAAAGGCAGATCTGTCATCATTACTGAAGGGCTTAAATCCTACCAGTTTGCTGCTGCCCTTAGCAGATCTGAATGACTGAACACAGCATACTCACTAGGCTGTTCTGCAGCTGAGCCTGCCCAGCCTTCGGGGTGCATCTCTCAGCTCCTCTCTACACTTGGCATTCCAGACACACTACAGCTGCTTCTTGAGATCCCCACCCTTGTGTGCCTTGGCAAAACCTTTCCAAGTGCTAGCCCCTCTCACTGGAACCTTTTCTCCCACCTCCACCACACCTTCTATTCGTTCAAGCTATGTGTTATCAAGAGAATTTTTTCTGTTGCTTGCTAAACCTGAGGACAGGTATGAAATCTCCTTTCCTCACAACTCTTCTATAAGCATAGTGAGCTGGCAGAGAATGAGCAAATAATTTAAGGTTGTGGACCTGGCCCCAGCATCTCAGACTTGTGAGCAGACAGCACCACCTGTTGGCCTGAGTTTGTACTTCATCTAGAAAGGTGCCTTCACACTCCGCCCACCCTCACAATAGAACAAATGGACATTTTACAGGGGTCTATCCAATGTCTCCACCAGTGGCTCAGGTGTCAATACAGTGCCATCTGGAGTGACCCACACATTCTGAAAGCTACAGTCCTCCAAGGGGAAACCACACACAGGACTGGGCCTCTGCTGAGACAGAAAGTGTAGCAGTTGGCCTTGGCCTCTCGGTGCTTCCATTTCCTAATCAGACCTTTAACCTGGACAGGTGAACTCCCTAGGATACTGCAAAGGGACTGAGGAGCAGTTCGATGCTGGTGAGCGCTGATGGGAATAGTTATCACTCTGGCTCCTGCATTATCACATCCTGTGATGCTGAGATTTTCTCATATCTTGATACTGACATTTAAAGCAGATAGCTCTTGCTTCCTAAATCCCAGCCACTTTCACCTCATCTAAATCATTTCCTTTTGGCATTTGTGGAAATTGCCTGCGTGCCTCCACTTAATGTCAGGTTTTTAAAAGTATTTAGTTTCCTATACCCTGGTCATTATACTCCACTCAATAAAGCATTTTAATACACTTTACTCATATTAACTCATTTAATTCTCACAACAGCTCTACGACACCATTTTACAAAGAAGCTAAAGCACAGAAGTCTCACACTCAGAGTTTCACAGCAAGCAGCAGGCCCCAACTACAAGCTTAGCTATTTTAGTAGTCTATGTAGCATGTGCTAAGCCAATGTGGTGATACATACCTGTAATTCCCACACTTCAGAGGCTGAAGCAGGACCCTGAGTTTGAAGAACAAGCAAACAAAACCCCACTACATTAAACTCCCTCTGCTGGTACAAGCTGTATCTGATTTCTTTTTTTTTTAATTTTGTAAAATTTTTATTGAAATTTTGTGTATTTCAAACAGATCTTAATCATCTTTATATCCCCTTTATCTCCTTCCCCACTGGCACCCTTCCATAGCCCTCACCACGCCCCCTGACCCCCACTGGATTTCATGTATTCTATTGTGTTAAGTCCTATCAAGTCAAGTTAGTGTCTCCAGATGTCCCTCAGTGCAAGTTCCTCCACTGAGGTCTAGTCAGCTTATCTACAGTCCCTCCCTTTAAGATCAGCTCTTCCTTACTCAGCAGTAATCAGCTGCCAACAGTTCTTGGGCAAACTTTTTTTTTAAGATGGCATTTATGATCCTGCATCTGTCTTTTTTTAAATACTTTATTTTTATTTTATGTGTATGACTGTTTTCCTTGCATTTATGTAAGTGCACCTGTGCACACAATGTCCTTGGAGACCAGAAGAAGGTGTCAGATCCCCTGAAACTGGAGTTGCAGACAGTTGTTAGCTGCCATGTGGATGTTAGGAACCAAACCTGAGTCCCCTGTAAGAGCAGCCATTGCTCTTAACTGCTGAGCCATCTCTCCAGTCCTCTGATTCCTTTACTTCCAAGTGCTAAGGACACTGCTTTGGACATAGTAAGTGTCAACAAATGTGCTTTAATATAGATATATACATATACACACACATACATCTTTACTTCCAAGTGCTAAGGACACTGCTTTGGACATAGTGTCAACAAATGTGCTTTAATATAGATATATACATATACACACACATACAGTCACATACCAGTGTGACAAACACCCCTCCTTCAGCCAGAGCTCTGCCACACTCAGGGTCTTGGAGATGCTCCGGAGAGCCTAGGTCTGGCAACTTTCAGATACGACACCTACCAAGGAGCACTTTAATCAGGTAAGTGGCAAGGTGCACCCCAGGTAGACTGACTGGGGTCTCATGCAGGTCCCGAACTCTGCTGTACCCTCTTCATCAGTTCTTCATCCTGCATAGACAACTCTGTCAACTTTTTGCCCATCCGTTCATGGATGTCCAAATACTTGGAGACACATCGGTCCAGGCACACAGACTCGCCTTTGGACAGCTCTGCTTCCTTGTAGTGGGGAGGCACGCACTTCCGGTGGCAGGCACTGGTCATTCTGGTGTTAGGGAGAGACAAGATTATACCAGTAACTTCCTGTGGCATCCAGGAACCTTCAACAACTCCAGACCTGCTGTACTGGTAATTTTACCTCACCTCTCCCCTAAGAAAACAATGGAAATCCTCAGTTTGCACCTCAGCCATTGTGGAAAGGTCTTGAGACTAAGAACTTTGAGTCCACATACAAGGACTAGTTAAACGGAAGGACGGGTTCAATACTGTGTGCCAGGGACCATGCTAAGTGCTCTACAGACTGTTATGCAACCTTCACCACAACCCATGGGGTAGGCACGATCATCAGCCCCATTTTATAGAAGAGGAAAAAGACACAAAGATGCTCAGTCATTTGCTAAGGATCACACCAAGCCAGAATCTGACTTCAAAACCTGTATTACTAAATCATTCTAATTTGCAGCCAAGATAAATCAACTAATTTAAAGTTTCAACAGGTTAAAAACAGCAGATATCTTATTGTTTTCTATACAACGGGCCTTCATATTTAATATTAATGATGTTTCTATGAAATAGGTATTATTGTCTGTTTTATTGATGAGATGATTATAAAACAGTCCAAGCTTGCCCAAAGGTATAGAGCAGGAGACTGACACATCAGCATTTGTTTCCAAACTGGTCAAATAGCTCCAAGCTTGAGTTGTGAAGTCAGACTGAAGAGTTAGTTCTGATGTTGCTACTAAAATGGGGCTAATAAAATTAATCTACTCATTTGTTTTAAGACAGGGTTTTATCTATCCCAGGCTGGCCTCAAACTCACTATGTAGCCAAGGATGACCCTGAACTTCTGATCCTCCTACCTCCATCTCCAGAGTGCTGGGATTACAGGCATGCACCACCAGGTCAGTACTGGGGGAAATCAAACCCAGGACTTCATGCCAGACAAGTATTCTACCAACTAAGCTATATCCCCACCCCCCAGTGAATTATTTTGAGGATTAAAAAAAAAGATAAAACATACAAAATGCTTTCCAAATGCCTATACAGAGTGAAAGTTTAATAAATATTAACTGTTATTGCATAACAGTCTGTAGAGCACTTAGCATGGTCCCTGGCACACAGTATTGAACCAGTCCTTCCTATTTAACTGGTCCTTGTAAGTGGACTCAAAGTTCTTAGTCTCAAGACCCTTAATGCTAAATGGACTATTTGTGAGCTGGCAAAATGGCTCAGCAGATAAAGGCACTTGCTGCCAAAAACTCATAACCTGAGTGCAATCCCCTGGACCATATAGTGGAAGGAGAGAAGTTGTCCTCTGACCTCCACATGTGCTGTAGCCTGTACTGGAGGGGGTGGGGGGTGGTGTCCGTGCACATGCGCACACACAATACATAAACAAATGTAATTAAATGAACTATTTGTCAAAAAGTAATGCTTCACTATTCTGGGAAAACTAACCAGACCCTGGACAGGAGATTCTCTTCCTGCCTAGACTGCTTCATGCTAGTTCTGCTCCCTCTAATGACCCAGGTCCTTCTGGTGACCACTGCTTATTGTATTAGTCAACCATACCGTGGAGGTTGGGGAGGAAAGCACCGGCCTCTGGCTCCACTATCTTAAGGAAATAATTTGTTGGAAGTCCTTCGCTCTATCGTTAGTAAGGGTGACCCAGGCTAATTTCCCACAACAGGGTAGTGCGGCGTGGATCTCTTTACCTATTGTACATGTCGGCCATCATCTCCACCTCCAGCTCCGCAGCCAGCTGTTGGGCCCTGAGCGGATCCATATCAACCCAGCACCGTAGAGGAAACCTCCTTCCGGTCCTTTAGTGCCTGGGAGTAGACGTGACTGTCAGGACTGACCCCTCCGGTTAATCCTCGTACCCGGGGGGATGGAGGACGCGAGGAATCAGGGTTTTAAACTAACAGGAACCACTGGCCTCAGTAAACGTAACCAGCCACTGACAAATGTGGAAATGGAACCCTGAAAAGGGACACTGCCCAGCTCAAGGTCACTCGGGATGTCATGAGGTCGGGGCTGGACACAGAGATCCCAGGTCCTTCTAGACCTCGTTTATCCAGAAGACCGCCGGTGGGGGCGGAACACAACGTTGGGGACCCTGGGAATTCGACCCTACTCGAACCGGGGCGCCCAGAGCCGGCCCCCAGGTTACGCCCCTGCAATGGCAATGGCATCCTCAGAGTCAACCCTGGGGTCAGGCATCAGGGTTCACTCACCACGGCCGGGGCAGGTCACAGCTCCCACGACGTCCCCACCTTAGAGCCAATTCTAAGAAGTTGCCGGGTCTGGGGGCAGACGCTAGAGGAAGCACGTGGGACACTTCCGAGCGGGAAATCCCACCCCGTCTTTGATCCGGAAGGAAACACCCGCCAGGCGGTGCTGGGAAATCGGCTACCATAGAGACGGAGCCACGGGCGGGCGGAAGAGAAAGTGACTTCAGTTTGCTAGAGAGGACTCCAGAATACCATAGAGACCTGGGCGGGGTGCAGAGCGCCGCAGGCCCAGTCCACATCCCAGGCCCTAGGGTTGTCCTGAAGACGTCTGAGGGTTTGGGATGCAGGAGTTTTGGGATACAGGATAGGACTGAGCTGCCTGAATCCATGTCTTGAACGAGTCTCAGGGAGGCCGGCAGTCAGGTGTCTCTTTCGAATGCACTTTTTTTTGTTGTTGTTGTTCACACATTAAAAAGCCGGAACAGCACAGCAATAAATCTAACACCCTAACAATCTAGCTCTGAGTGATGCCACCAAGATCCCGAGGCAGGATTCAAAGCAGGTTGCCAGTCCGATTGCCCAGCGCACAGTCACCCATCACGTCCACGTCCATGTCCACGGTCCACGCCCTCTGGGGAGAAGGACAGTGGGTGCTGGCTCTGCAGCAGATGCACCTTGGGAGTGATGTTCCTTGAGAGAGACCCAGGCTAGCTAGTCAGTGCCTCAGCTGTGTTTAGCCGGGTCAACCAGGGTGCAGGACACTCAGTGGTCACCAAGGTCAGAACCAGGCCAGAGACAGGAGATCCTGATGGGAGATGCAGTCACTGGAAGGGTCCCTTGTTGCTAGAGTACGTGGGTCATAGGCCTTGAGGTATACTGGGGACCAGCAGTCGGCTGAGATGTCTGGAGCCTAGTTTTTATGGACCTTCTGAGACTTTATCTTGTCCTTTTTGCTGTAAGCACGGTCTGATGTCAGGACGGTGAGCAGGAATGCCATCATCTTTTTGTTGTTGTTGTTCTAAGTGTTCACTACAACCCACCTGGGAAAGCTGTGGCGTGAACACAGAGCATGCGTGGAGAAGGTGGAACCTCTCCAAACACCGTCTGTCAGTTTCTCATGTTAAAACTACCTGGGGCTCTTAAAAACGCCAGTTCTGGGGCTGGAGAGATGGGTTCAGCCATTAAGAGCACTGACTGCTCTTGCAGAGGACCTGGGTTCGATTCCCAGCACCCACATGGCGGCTACGAACCGTCCTTAACTCCAGTTCCAGGGGAATCCAAAGCCCTCTTCTGACCTCTGCAGCATTGCAAGACATGGGTGCACTCACCTACATGCAAGCAATACACTCGTACACATAAAATAAAAATAATAAAGCCGAGCGTGGTGGCGCATGCCTTTAATCCTAGCACTCGGGAGGCAGGGGCAGAGGAATACACATAAAATAAAAATAATAAATAAAATATTTTTTTAAAAAATAAAAAAGACTTTTATTAGGACAAATTTAGACATAAAGAGAGCACAGTCTGATAAACATCTACATATCTAGCCCCAGGATTTTAACAATTGTTAAAATTTGTCCACATTTTCTGTATCTATTGTTATCTTTAACAGATGATGTCTGTTTTCCAAAGTGCTATTTTCATGTGCTCAATGTTACAGCAATTTCTTTTTCTCCCTCTTCTGCAGAGCCTAAGGCTGAATCCAGGGCCTCATGCATGCTAAGTAAGCACTCTATTACTGAGCTACACTTCCCATTTGATTTACTCATTTCTTTTTTAAATGTATCTATTTGTGTGGGGAGAGGCACATGTCATGGACATATATGGAGGTCAGAGGACAACCTTGTGGGAGTCGGTTCTCTCTTTCCATCAAGTGGGTCTGGGGATCAAATGCAGGTTGTCAGGCTTGGCAGCAAGTGTCTTTACCTGCTGAACTATCTCACCAACCCATTTATTTCTTAATCTGTTGCAAAATTTTAAAATTATTTTATCTTTTTTATGTGTTTCATATGATACATATGTTTGTGTGTGAGAGTGTGCACATGCAACAACACATGTGGAGGTCAGTGGACAACCCCAGGTTTCTATCCTTGACTTCCACCTTGTTGGACAAGAACTTCTTGTTTTTCACTGGTGACTCCGCCATGCTAGCTGGTCTGCAAGCTTCCGGGGACTCTCCTGTCTCTGCCTTCCATCTCACCATAGCAGTGTTGGGATTATAGACTGGTGCTACCATGTCTGGTTTTATATGGCTTCTAGAGATCTGGACATTTTTCTTCCATAGCAAGTGCTTTACCCACTGCCCATCTCCCCAGTCCTATTGCAAATATTTTATTTTCCCCAATGTCTCTGAACAATCTTTTTATTGTAATAACATTTAACATGATATCCTTACATGTACAAAATAATATTGCTATTGTATGTACCATATTACATAGCAGGTCCCTAGAACTTATTCATCTAACATAACTGAAACTATACACACTGAAGAGAAAATCCCTATTTCTCCCTCCCTGGAAAATCCTTGTTTTTGTTGATGATAGTGCTACTGTTAAATACTATGTGACCCTGTCTCCCTTCCATAATTATACAGTTGTATATTTATAATGCTACAAGTAAGAATCTCCAGTTTTTCCTGGTGTGCTTTTTGGAAAGGACAGCTTAAATAGCCTCAGTTTTGGGGGATATCACTGGACTCCAAACGTGTCATCCAAAATTGCTGATCTTTGTGAGGACCATGTTGAAACCCTGGCCCCTCCATCTGGCCTCGCATCCCATCCCTTCCCAGCCTTACAGAAAGGAGTTGTATATTTGTCATTTACCCTGGGTCAGTACTGTCTTCTTCAATAGGACTCCACACCCAAGAAGAGGATGTAGGATCTCCTAATTGGGACCTGCTGTTCATGAAAGGTGCAGAGAACACAAAGACAGATGGATATTTCCCTGGGACTGCCCTGAGAAAAGCAGGAGGAGGCTAGAGACTCAAGGGAAAACCTGTCCAGGCTTCGCTGCTGTTTCCACCATGGCTGTTCCTCACGTCGCTGACTCCCTGGCCCATGCCACCACAAACTGTACTTGGGTCACCAAGTTAGTCTCCTGGCTAGTCTCCCTACTTCTGCCTATGCTTCCTACCAGATTATTCTAAAAACAGCAGCCAGAGTGATATCAAAAACTAAAATTAGATCATGTCACTCAACACCTAAATACTGCAATGGCTTGTATACACAGAGCAAAAGTCAAAGTCTCTCAATATCCCATGTATTGCTTTTTTCATTGCTGAGAGGAAATGAATACTTGACAATAGCAACTTAAGGGAGGGAGGGCTTATTTTGTCTTACAGTTCAGGAAATATGTTCCATTGTGGAATGGGAAGTAGCTGGTCAGGACACATAGAAATGAATGCTGACACTCAGCTTACTTTATCTTTTCATTCAGCCTGGGATCCAAGTCCACGAGATTCCATGCCTACTTTCAGGGTAGATCTTCCCACATCAATTTAACACAGTCTAGAAACTCTCTCCCAGAAATGCCTAGCTGTTTATTTCCTAGGTGATTCTAGATTCTATCAAGTTAACAGTATGAACCATTAACAAGCCCCCACGTGATTGGCCAATCCCAGCTGCTGCCTTTTATCTCCAGCTGTCCTCCTGCCCCAGTGCTCTACCCCAGCCATGCTGTCCTCTCTCATCAAACTCACCAATCACACTCTCCCCTTTCCAGTCACTGTTCCCTGTACCAGAGATGCTGTTGCCCAGATTGTCAAATGCTGCAGTACCTGTCTGACTTGTGGTCTTCAATCCTATACCACTTGGTGTTATCTAAATGTCCGTCCTCCCCAGTTGCAAAACAAAACAAAACAAAACAAAAACCATCTTCTGGGAGGCAGAGGCAGGCAGATCTCTGTGAATTCAAGGCTAGCCTGGTCTACATAGTGAGTTCCAGGCCAGCTGGGGCTACAGGGGGACCCTGTCTCAAAAAGATCAAAAACAAAAACAAAACAAAAAACCATTCTCTGCCCTAAAAGGATCTTTTGTCTACTTTCTCTTGCATTCGGTGCTATTGTCTCCAGCTTATAGTTGGTGTTCACAAACCATTAAATCAACAAATAAATGGATTGTCTAAGAGAAGTTTTGATGGCTGATGCCATGATCTGCTAATTTGCTGGTTCTGATATCCAATGACAGTAAGACAAGAAATGAGTTAAAAGAGAGAAAGAAAAAAAAAAAAAAAAACCAGCAAGCCAGAGAAATGTGGGAGAATTCACCCATCTTGGGCTGATGAATTCTGGATAAAGGAGACATACTAGAGAGAGCAGTAAACCATTAACATTCCACTATTTGTTGGCCTGGAGAGATGACTCGGCAATTAAGAGCACTGGTTGCTCTAATAGAGGATCCTTGGGTTTGATTCCCAGCACCCACAAGGCAGCTAACAACCATCTGTGACTCCAGTTCCAGGAGGATGCAGGCAGTACACTCACACACAGGATAAAAACAATTTTTTTTTTTTTTTTTTCTTTTTGAGACAGGGTCTCCCTATAGCCTCAGCTGTCCTGGAACTCACTATGTAGACCAGGCTGGCCTTGAACTCACAGAGATCCAGTTCCACCTGCCTCTGCCTCCCGAGTGCTGGGATTAAAGGTGTGCACCACCATGCCCGGCTAGAATGTTTCTTTTTAATTACACTACTTGAACATCAGCCCCCAAAACCTGGCTGCTACATAAAATAATCTCTCAGATCAGATCACCCTAGTAAGAATAAGGAGCCAGCGTTGCAAAGAGCAGAAGGAAAACCCAGTTCTGAGTCTGGAAAGCAATGGATTTATTTAGGGAACAGGAAGCAGGCCAGTGTAGCTAAGTAGTAGGGTTGGGGGAAGGGAACTGGAGGACTCTCAAGCTTCATAAGTGGGAGGGGTAAAGCCTGCCCGCATTCTCCAAATGGTACCTTCCTTAAATTATATGACACATAAAGAGGGTAAGGACTTGTTTGGTGTTTTTTTCTTCTGAGCAAAATTTCAATTCAGCACAAAAATGTGTTCAGAGCTGACCATGTACCAGTCACACCAGTGTATCAGCTCAAAAAACCAAAGAGTTGTGTATATCATAGATTCTTAACTCCAGTGACTCACCGGCTTTCTCCATCACTTTTCTCTTCTTTGTCCCTCCCCCTTCAAACCTCCCTGTCCAGTGTGAGCGCCCTGTCAGCAGCTGCCTCATTCACCACCTCCTGAGTCTACCATTCAGCAGCTGCTTTGTCTGGGGAGGAGTAAAGGGGGCTATGCAGAGGAACACTGGAGGAAAGGGGCTAAGCGAACACAGAAGGCCCTACTCCAGCTCTGGAGAGCAGAAGGCCCCAGAACCAGAGACCAGTTGCAAATTGTGCTGTTGTTTTTTAGGGTCTCCAGGGCCAGAGCTCATCAGGAAGGAAGGTGATCAAAGGACGGATGCTGCTAGGGCAGGAGGGAGGGACACAATGTGATTGAAAGGTGCCACCTGTCAAATCTTCAGGGGAAATCTGAGCCTCCCAGTCTAGGGGAAAGTGTTGTACCAACAGGGTAGTAAACAATGCTCTTCCAAGGCCCAAGCCTCTTGAAGTGAGTAAGGGTTGGGGGGGGAGGCGGGACTCTGAGCTGGGGGCTCAAAGCCACCAGAGCTTAAAGGCTGATGGGAGCGAAACTACTCAGCTAGAGGAAGGCAGGAGGTCTCAAGGCCAGGCAAAGCCTCACAGGTAGGAAAAGCCCTGGGTCCCTTTCTAAGTAGTCTCATATCTGCCAACTCCTACTTCTACCTTCCAAGGACCAGATCTTCCAACAAGAGCTCTAAAATGAGAGCAATGCAGTTCCCTTCCTAATTCTTTCCACTATGTCAACTCTTCTTACATGCCAGGAATCAGGGACTCAGCCCCCAAGAGTCAGATAACCTTGAGATCCTGTACAGAGTACCCTGCAAGTGGCCATCTACAAAGAGGGCCTCTCAAGGACAAATGGGTCTTGTGAGGGGTTCTCTCCAGTTCAGTTAAGAGGCTCTTGGCCTCTTCAAGGGAGGGCTCTGGCTAGGATAGGTAAGGTAGAGGCCTCAGGACTGCTGAGAGACTGAGCAGCAAAAGGTGATGGAACATCACAGAAGCACCAAGCATCTCCTGTACTATTCAAGGCTTGGTACTTTTTAAAATATTTTTTTGATTTTTATTTTATGTGTATGAGTGTACTGCATGCATGCATGTAAATGCACCCATGTTGTACAATGCCCTCATAGGACAGAAGAGGGCTGTGGATCCCCTGGAACCAGAGTTAAGGACAGTTAATAGCTTCCACGTGGGTACTGGGATTTGAACCCCAGTCTTCTGCAAGAACAACCAGTTTTTTTAACCACTGAGCCATCTCTCCAGCCCCCTCAAGGCTTGGAACTTGTACTGACTCTTCCCTCCAGATTAGGGGCATTGTCTGGTCTGCAGAGCTACACTGGACACAGACAGGGTGATAGGAGGGTTTCCTGGGGAGGAAGGAGGAAGGAAGTAGAGAGTAAACCAGGAAAGGGGTGGTGTGGAAAACAGTGGAAGAGCCTAGTGTGCACTTAGAAGAGGGAATTATTTGGCCATATTGACAGCTCTTCCCCACAGGCAAGGTGTTCACTCCTCTGAGCTGAGATTGTTGAAAGGACTGAGTTATCTGGGCTGAGTGCTAGTGGGAGCAGTATCTTCAGCACACATTCCAAACTTGGACACAGGAGCCCTAGAATCCAGCCAGGTATGTTTGGCCTATTTTATTGTCCTGTGACTTTAGTCAAGGGAACTCAACTCCATGAGCCAGACTCCTAATCTGTAAAATAGGGTTACTAACACCTATTCTGAAGGGTCAAGCAAGGAACAACCAGGTAAAGCAAGGTACTTCAGTCTGAGTTGTGAACAGCTGTGGAATCATGAGTGCTGGGGGTGGATGGTGGTGTTGCCCAGGTTTCTCAGAATTCAGAGCCTCTTCACTTCTTGTCTATTTATGGCAAGCCTAGAGGTGGGAAAACAGAGGTGATGAACAGGCAGAGTGACTGAGGTTGCGTGTGTGTGTGTGTGTGTGTGTGTGTGTGTGTGTATGTGTGTGTATGTAAGTGCATGCACAAACATACTCTCCCTTCCCCACTGACCTATGTGCATGATGAGCAGATGGAGAGAAAGATGGTTGGAGCCCTCATTTATGTCGTAGCCAAACCTGCTTCACTTGGGGGTATAAAAAGGGCTTTGTTGGCGGGGAGTGGTGGCACACGCCTTTAATCCCAGCACTCAGGAGGCAAAGGCAGGTGGATCTCTGTGAGTTCAAGGCCAGCTTGGTGTACATAGTGAATTCCAGGACAGCTGGGGCTACAGGGAGACCTTGTCTCAAAAAGACCAAAAAAAAGCGGGGGGGGGGGGACTTTGTTATCATCTTAATGACATTCAGTTCTCTCTGCCTTGTCTCACTAACAAATGCCCTGGGGACAAGGTCAGGATCTCATCCTGGCTCAGGGATGGCACAGTCACTCTTCAGGATGCAAACCGTAGACTACGGACTCCCTCCAACCACTTCTTGTGCTCTGATGACTTAAGTCCTCCATCCTTCCCTTGGGGTGAGACCTATTTTTAACTATAGAAATTGAAACACAGAACAGGTAGCTTGTTAAAGTTCACACAGTAAACAGTGGGAACTAGACCCCTACCACTGTAAGACTTGATGATTTTCCTTGCTTTTCTATACCATCTCCCCAACAAGAGCAAAGACAAGAGAAGAAATAGTGTTTGCAGCACACTCAGACCAGCACTGGCCACACTTTCATCTGTTGAGCATTGCATTGCTACAGGGGCAATGGTAACTCTTCATGAAAAGCAGTACAATAATAAAAGCAGGCAAAGAGAAAAGGTCCATGGCCAGATAGGTTTGAAGGAAGGTGAATTAAATGACATTCAAGCTATTTTTTTTTAGCTTTATGGCATCTGAAATCCACTTAAGTGCTAATGAAGCTCTGAATCACAAAGAGGGTGAAAAGCTGGCTATATTTGGAACAACCTTGGCCAGTGAACAACCTCTTCTCACTGTCATGATGGCCTTTATTCATTCTGTTCACTTTTTTTTTTAGAGACAGGGTCTCATGCAGCCCAGGCTGGCCTCAAACTCACCATGTAGCTGAGACTGACAATGAACTTCAGTCCTTCTATTTCCACCCCCCAAGTGCTATGATTACAGGCATGCAGCCCCACACCCAATTTATGCAGTGTTGGGGACTGAACCCAGGGCCTTGAGCATGCTAGGCAAGCACTCTTCCCACTGAGCTACATCCCCAGCCAGAGTCTTTATTTGTACAACAGGAGACCCTAGTTTTCCACAGAGTACTATCTGGAAACTCTGATCTAAAGCAAGGATCAGGGACTGGAGAGATGGCTCAGCAGTCAGTTAAAAGCACTGACTACTCTTGCAGAGGACCTGGGTTTGATTCTTAAAACCCATGTGACAGCCAGCAACTGTCCAAAACTCCAGTTCCAGAGAATCCAACGCCCTCTTCTCACCTTCGTGGGCAATGTATGACAGGGATACACTTACATACATGTATGCAATACACTCATAAAAATAAAAGTAATAAAGAACATATTTTTAAATAAATAAAAGCCAAGGATCAGAGATGTTGAAGGACTGGCTTGGGCTCAAAGTGAGTGTCTAGAAGGTGGGGGTCAAGGCCAGCTCCATGACCTCCTGGCTGTCTTTTGTGCACACCATCACATGGGTTTGTTTCCCCTTTTGCTTGACTATATGGCTGGAGCTGCTGAACCATGAGGCTGTGGCAGGAGGGGTGGGACTGATAGACAGTGTGCACATCTTTACAAAAGCCAGTTAGCGTCCTAGAAAATGAAAAGCACCAAATCCAGAGGCCCTAGGACTTTGGTCTTGGGGGGATAGGGAGTCTCGAGTAGACAACAGAAGCAGAGCCTGGTCCTTGTCTGCCTGTCTTCCTACTGCATGTGCTCTGTCCCCTGTCACAATTACCCAGGTGTCCTGAGTACTATCACCAAAGAAGACAGTACTGCCAAGGGCAAGAGGTATTTTTAGCCAATGACAGAGGTGTCCACTTTTTTTTTTTTTTTTTTTTTTTTTACTGTCTGAGTCATGCCCTGAGCCCTATTTGGGGTTTGTTTTCTTTGTAACTAGACCCCCGAGAAGGGAAGGGGTGAAGGAACTGGCCTCATGCCCTCATATACATATATGTGTGTCTGTCTGTAACTGTGTCTGTGTGTGTGTCTATGTGTTTATCGTGTTTGTATTACTTAAACAAGAATCCATCTCCCCCACATACACCCAGGGGAAGCTGGAGAGCCAGCTTTGTAGACTAGACAGAATGTGACTCTATTCATTACCAGAGCAAACTCTTCCCTGTCTACTTTTTCAAGACCCACAGGCTGGCGCATACCAGCCTGCCCAGGGATTCCCAAATCTCAAGTATTTTTATATTATCCTTATGATTTGACATCTGTACCAACTGTACTTGAATTTCCTGAATGCCTGCCTTGTTTTGAATTAACTTATTTTTAAAAATCCAATAATGTATTTTTAAAAGACACTTTAGATCACTGTTGGAGATGGAAGCTCAATATCACTTACCAGAAATAGAAAGTAACTGTGAGAATCCATACAATGGAAGCAAGACAGAGCTGTTCAATTCTTTCCAACACTCCAGTCTGCTTTAGGCTCTACTGAGGGAGCAGCAATTGTCCCTCAGGAGTTCTGGAATGCTGTTATGAAATTGTGACCACCTCACTAGCTTAATCAAAAAGAGGCAAAATCATTGAGAAGGCATTATGTGAGATTGGGCATATAGTTCAGAAGTATAGTGATTGCTTGCATGCATAAAGCCCTAGGTTTGATACTTAGCATGAAAATAATAGTAACAGGGCTGGGTATGGTGCCCCATGCCTTTAATCCCAGCGACTTGGGAGGCAGAGGTAGGTGAATCTCTGAGATTGAGGCCAGCCTGGTCTACATAGTGAGTTCCAGGGAACTGTGGTTACAGGGAGATCCTACCTCAAAAAGACCAAAAAAACAAAAATAAATGAAAATAATAGTAATAATAATAATAATAATGGTCAGGGGTAATGGCTAATGGTATATGCCTGTACTCCCAGCATTAGGAAGACAAAGGCAGGAGGATCAAGTTTGAGGAACATGAGACCCTGTCTCCATGCAAACAAACAATAATAATAATGTAAATGAATAAAAAACCACATGTAATTCAATATTTAAAGCAAAAGCCATCGCTTACAGAAGTGCATTGTGTGAACACCATTCAAAAATTAAGTCAATGTGGCCCAACTGCCCCACCTTAAGGGAAGAAGGCCTCTGCCCTGCATACTACCACAGGGAGAGTGGGTATGTGGTATCACGCCCAAGTAATACCTCCTGACTCCTACATCAGGGTCTTCACCTCATACAAGGATGGGGTACAACAAAGTCTTCATATCTTCTCTTTCCAGACATGGAGAAGAAGGAAGGGAAGCCCTCTGAAGATGGGATCACTGCTTCCCCAACTTCAGGGGACCCTGGGACACCAAGGGGTGGAGTCTCTGCCAAGGAGGTGACCAACAGCACAGCAGAGTCAGCCATCAAAGAGGGGCCTCCTGATGGGGCAGAAAAACAAGGAAAAGCAGCACCTGAGGATGGCATTTCAGTGGAATACCCAGAGGAAGCAAATGGATTAGATACAGACAAGGAAGAATCTCAGACGGAGGCCAGCGGGAAAGAGGAAACTGAGGCTGAACTTGTAGAGGAAGGTGGAAAGAAAGAGGTCATAGTGGTTTCTCAGGAGGAAACTGACAAGAAAGAAGAGACCAAACCTGAATCTAAGGAGGTTAAGGAAAAAGAGGAGGCCACAATGGCCTCAGAGAAGACAGACGAGAAAGAGGCGACGCACGAGTCTGAAGAGACAGTGGACGTGAATGAAGAAGCCAAGTCCAAATCCTCAGAGGCTGTTGAGGCAGAGGCTATCGACAAAGAGAGTAAGACTGAATCTCAAAAGAAGGCTGATGTAAAAGATGATGCTGAGGCTCAACTTCGGGAGGTTGATGGGAAAGATGCTGAAAGTGATGCCAAGGAGTTGGTGGTAAGTGAGGCAGAAAGGAGGATCCTTGAGTTTCTGTTCTCTGTGCAGCGGCGTGTGTGCGTGCGTGCGTGCATGGGTTCGGCTGGCTCCATTGCTTTCAGGCTTGTGTTGAGGCAGAAACGTCATGGAAAAGGGGAGTGGAGGAAGACAACTGCTGCAGTCAGAAAGAGAGAAGTGTCTGAATAAAAGATATTCCCTTCACTGGGAAATGCATCATGGGGTAAAACACCTGATGAACGAGTATGAAGACCTGAGTTCAAATCCCCAGAACCCACATAAGCACTAGGTGTGGCTGTGAACATCTGTAAATCCCAATACACCTAACAGTGAGATGGGAGGCCAAGGCAGGAGAATCCCGTTATATACAGGCAAACCACAAAGGGACCATGTCGACAAGCTGCAAGGCAAGGACTGACACCAGAGGTTGTCCTCTGACTTACACACACACACACACACACACACACACACACACACGAAAGATATGTCCTTCAAAGGCATACCCCCAGTGATAGACTTCTCCGACTAAGTCTTACCTCCTAAAAATAGCTTATCCAGCTATGAACTCATCAGTGGGATAATCCATTAACGAAGTTAGAGTCCTCATGATACAATCCCTTCTCAACGGAGCCATCGGCTGAGGAGTAGGCCTTCAGCACATGAGCCTTAGGTTGGGGCACTTTCTATCCAAACCATAACACCTTGGGAAAATCCAGTCTTTCCCCACCTGTTCTCAAGAGCCTGGGGGTGGGGTGGGGAGCAGAGGTACAGCACTGTGGCTTAGGTTGCCTTTCAGGTCTTTCTGAATTTCTCACAAAGCCTTGGACAGCTGCCTATACAGATCCTGTTGATTCCAGGAGCCAGGGAGTGCCACTGAGGAGCAGCAGCCTGGCAGGGAGAAAGAATCAGAGGAAGGAACAGCAGTGATCCCCAGCTCCCCAGAAGAGTGGCCTGAGAGCCCCACAGATGAGGGCCACAGCCTCAGCCCAGGTAAGTGAAAGCCCACGGGCCTCCAGGATGCCACTGGGCTACATTGGGGAAGGAAGATTCAAAGAGCACATCACAAGTAGCCCCAACTTTCTTCTGCTTTATCTGTTCTCCAGATGGGTTGGGTCCAGACTTGACAGCTTCTGGAGAGACCAGTCCTTCAGCCAGGTAATTTCAAGGCCTGGGGCTCCAGCTCCAACCCCCTCCCCCACCTCCTGCCCCCTTCAAAGTCAACCATGACTTCTGTCTGGGCCATCCCAGAACCTCACTTCCAGGATTCCTGGCCCTCAGCCTCCACCTTAGGGCAGAGCCCAGGAAACAAATGAAGTGTGAGGTGGAAGGGAGCATGTAGGATGCTGGTCTCTCCCTCTAGACGGCAAACGTCGCCTCTTCAGCATCTTTGACTTCACTACAGCTCTCCAAATGCCATCTATGAAAGTGAAACTCAGAAAGCCTGAGTCTGGACATTGGCTCTATCACTTACCAGCTATGTGACCTTGGCCATGTCACTTAGCGCTTTTCCTCTGTGACATGGACACAATAGTATTGACCTCACAGGATTATTGTGATGCTTATTGCTACTGAGCATAAAGACTTAAGAATGGGTCCTGGATCACAGAAAGTGCTGGACAGCCAGCCTTAAAGTCACCACCACATAACTTTTGTCACTTCCTCATCCCTTTCTCAAGAAATGGTGACCCATGAGTATCCACCAAACATTCACACAGCCAAGGGCCTTGACCCTCATCTTCTGCAGGCCTGAGAATCACCTTGTCAGGTAGGCATTCTTGTTCCCATTTTACAGAGAAGTAAACTGACATTCCCAAGATCACACAGCAAATTAGAATAGTATCAGGATCCACATTTAAGTCAGACCCCAGATTGTGTCCCTAGTTCTGCCCATATGGCCTCAGCAGACCACATGCTCCCCAGAGTTAGCCTGAGCCTATTTGCTGCTTCTCAGCCCCCCATCAAGTGCTGGGTACAGGATAAACACATCGCACACAGCAATGACCTCTGTCTAGCAGCCCCAAGACCCCTCTCTGCATCTTGTTATGGTAGTTCCATCCCTTCTCATGATGCTCCCACCCTCTCCACGTAGTGAGTCTTCACCCAGCGATGTGCCCCAGAGCCCCACAGAGCCCCCACCCACGGAGGAGAAGAAGAAAGAGAGGGCACCAGAGCGCAGGGTGTCAGCTCCGGCCCGTCCACGGGGACCCCGTGCACAGAATCGCAAAGCCATCGTGGACAAGTTTGGCGGGTAGGTAGGGCACAGGCAAGGGGCCGGGCTGGGCTGAGCGCTCCCTAGGGTCTGTGCATGGGGTCATGGGAGGAAAGCCCTCAGGCCTGTGGGAACCTTCTAGGGATGAACATCTGGGGTTCCCCACATTGCATCGTTTGTGATCTTTGGCCCCTCCCCTCACAGGGCAGCCTCAGGCCCCACTGCCCTGTTCCGAAACACAAAGGCAGCCGGGGCAGCCATCGGTGGCGTCAAGAACATGCTTTTGGAGTGGTGCCGAGCCATGACAAGAAACTACGAGGTGGGCACAGGTTGAGATACACGAATAGGGCAGGGGACACTTATCCCCAAGGAAGTGTGAGGGTTCAGATTCCAAAGAGTTGGGTGGTGGGAGGGTGGACGGGGCAAAGCCCAGGCACTCAGGCTGAGGGTCACTGAGGTCTTCTGTTCCCATCTCAGCATGTCGACATCCAGAACTTCTCCTCCAGCTGGAGCAGCGGCATGGCCTTCTGTGCCCTCATCCACAAGTTTTTCCCAGATGCCTTTGACTACGCGGAGCTGGACCCCACGAAGCGCAGGCACAACTTCACCCTGGCCTTCTCTACTGCGGAGTAAGCCCCGGCTCTGCCATGGGAGGTGGGCGGCACGGTGGGTGGTGGGTCTACTGCTGCTGCCACACAGCCCAGCATCCCACAGAGATATCTGAGCACCAGGTGCTCCTTAAAGCAAATGGCTAAAATAGACACAAATCTCTGCACCTTTGTGGCTCATATTCTAAATGAAGAGACAGATCAGGAGTGCACACCTAGAGGTAACATAAGGCAAAGACAGGTGCCCTAAAGAAAACTCAGGGGGCTGAGGAGACAGCTCAGTCTGTAAAGTGCTTGACATGGGGGGTAGGCCTTCTGGTTTGGGGGTGGGGTGATGGAAACCTAAGGTCAGATTTGGATTTCAACCCTGTGTAACTTTGGACATACCCCATTACATCCCTGAACCTCCAGTTTCCATGATGTTTCCTCTTTTACCAAGATTTCAGTACCACAATTAAGTTCTTTTAACAGTGCCTAGCTCACAGTAAGCCCTCAGAAACTCTTGGCTATGGTACTACATTATAATATCATGGTTGTTATGACAGTTATTATTCACTTTTGGTTCTGGAGGGAAGTTACTGCTGGGGCTCATACAATCTTATATCAGTGGTGGTAACAGCTGATCAAAGAACACTGTGAGGAATAATGAAGACCAGGGGAGGAATTGAGGTAAAGATAGGCTAGGTGAGGTGACAACTATATTCTCAGCATTTAAGAGGTTGAGGCAAGAGGATCCCAAATTCAGAGCCTACCTAGGTTATGCAGCCAGATCCTATCTCAAAAATCAAACCAAAGCAAACCAAAAAAAAAAGTATGACTGCCATGGTAGTGACCAGGGAGAGAGGCTCTCACCACCTTCAACCTCCAACCTGGGGGAGGATCCCAGAAAAAGACTTTAAACCATTGAAGGAGGCAGGACTGTGACTAGAGGGGGTCACACTAAGCCCTCTAGTCTAATCCAGACCTGGCCACCCACCAGGGAGGGAGGAATGTGTGTCTCCATCAGGAAAATGGGAGCAACCCAGCGAGGTGCATTTTGGAAGCCCTGGCACAGTAATTACAGTGCACACCTGTAATTTCAGCTGAGGCTGAGGCAGGAGGATTGCTGAGAACTTGAGGCCAACCTGAGCTACATAGTAAGACTAAATAAATAAATAATAATAATTAATAAATAAATGGCTGGGGTTGTAGGAAACTCAGTTGGTAGCATGCTTGCTTAACATGCCCAAAGTCCTGGGTTCAATCCCCAGCACCACAAAAGCCAGGTATGATAGAGCACCTGTATAATCCTAGCACTTGGGAGATGGAGGCAGGAGGATCAGAAGTTCAAGGTCATCTTCAGCTACAAAGTTAGTTGGAGGCCAACTTGGGGTAAATGGGAACCTATAATACATACATCATACATACATACATACATACATACATATACATACATACATAAATGTTTAGGAATGAGGATGTTAGAGCACTTTGGCCTGAGACGCTAAGCCCTCTAGTCTAATCCAGACCTGGCCACCCCCCAGGAGGGAGGAATGTGCGTCTCCATCAGGAAAATGAGAGCATTACTATTGATCCACACTTCTCAACAATTTTTTTTTTACAGCAGATTTTTCTCAAAACGTTAGATGAGTGAGTCACATCTTAAACAGATTAAAGGGAAATCTTTTGGGTTAGGAAGAGCTCCGTGTCAAACCCTTTCTTCCCAAGAAGGTCTCTGAGGCACATATATAAGACTACAGGACATAAGGATGCCATTTAAAAGCCACCAGACTTCAGGCTGGGGCTGCAGCTGAGCGGTAGAGTGCTTGCCTAGCATCTGTGAGGTCTTGTGTTTGATCCCAAACATTGCCCCCACCCCCAAAAGAACATCCAATGAGACTCGGTGCTCCTGAAGGTCTCTTCCAGTTTCCCATTGTCTTGTCATGGGCTGAGATGGGTGACCTCGGTGGGAAGATAAAGTCAAGAACGTCATTGTCTTACTATAGCTGTGCTACACCTTCTATACCTTCAATGCCATGGATAAGCTACAAGAACCAAGTGGCCATCTGCTAAGTAGTTTGGACCATCTCATTTGATCGTCACAGGTGGATCTGCATAGAGGGGTTAGGGATTTCCTAGGTTCCTACAGAAGGCTATGCAGGGTGGGTATGGCAGGGTGACACTCCTGTTCTAGCCTTAGAGCAACAAAGAGCAGGCAGCTGTGCCCCAGTCAAACATCTCTGACCTGGAGGGTACAGACTACTGTCTTCCAGCAGCTACCTGACCTTGGGTTCCAGGCAGTCGACAGGAAGGTAGAGGAAGAAGCAGAGGACCACACTGTGCAAGAGGCACCAGGCAGCCAAAGTGAAAGGACACTAAGGGGAACCAAACAGATGGAGGCTGGGAAATCGAAAGGGGATGCTGAGAGGTTTTTTTTTTTGCTTTGTTTTTTTTTTTTTTTTTTCACTGAGGGGGAACCAAAAAGGTGGGGTGTGGGAAGCGGAAAGGGGGAGTCGGAGGGTTTTTTTTTTTGGTTTTGTTTTTTTTTTTTTTTTTTAACTATTCTTATTTTATATGTATGAGTGTTTAGCCTGCATACATGTGTTCCCATATCATGCAATGCCCATGGAAACCAGAAGAGGATGTTAGATCCCCTGGAGCTAGAGTTATGGGTGGTTGTGAGTCACCACATCAGCGCTGGAACCAACCTGGGTCCTCTGCAAGAGGAGCCAGTGCTCTTAACCACTGAGACATCTCTCCAGCCCTGATGCTGAGGTTTGAATCCTGACTCCTCCTCCTTAGCTCTGTGGCGTCTCTGGAAGCTTTTTATCACAGGATTTGATGTGAAGGGTTAAGTATGAAAAGTACAGCTATCACTTCACCTGCATGTTCTAGAACTCTCCTCCTGTTCCCCAAGTCTGAGGATAAAGGGAAGGAATCACCAACTCAGAGCCACCATGCACTGCATCAGTTAAACTGCTGGAGGAGCCAGCTGGGCTGGTAGGCTTCATGGGAACGAAGGTTTTGCCTCTCAGATTTGGGGAGACAGCACCCAACCTGCCATGGCTACAGAAAGCCTGTCCCATTCTTCAAAACCTTCCAGTCTGTGACCCTCCCCCAGCTCCCAGGCCAGTGGCTTGAAGTTCAGCCCAGCTGTCCCACCCCAAAGAGAGGATTTCTTCAGGGCCCTGTCTCCTGTTGCCCAGCACCCATGATTGCTGGCTGCCCAAGGCAGCCCATACTGCTGAGACCCAGCTTCAGAGCAAGGTGCCAGAGGCTTTGGGCAGGCCTGGTGTTGATTCCCATCTGTCACGATTTTCACCTCAGCAAACCATCAAACCGCTCTGAGCTCCCCCTTTGCTTGTTTGAGATAAAGTAAATGAGACCATCCACCAGAAACATGTTAAGGCACCTGACACCAGGTAGTGATGCCCCAGCAACGATTAGGCAGCTTATCAGCCTCAGCAAAGCTGGAGGTATCCAGTGGCCTCAGAGTGCAGCTGTGAAGTTTTTGAAAAAAGAGGACTGTACAGTTCCTCAAACACGCATAACATTCCTGTCTCAGGGCTTTGCAAGTACTGTTTTCGGGTGTCCCCAGATATGAACACCATTCACTCTAAGAAGAGGTCTTCCCTGAGTGTCCTGTTTAAAGATCCAGGCTGGAGAGATGGCTCAGCAGTTAAGAACACTGGCTGCTCTTGCAGAAGACCTAGGTTTGGTTCCTAGCACCCACAGAGTGGCTAACAAGATTCTATAACTCCAGTTCCAGGGGTCCGTCACCCTCTTCTGGCCTCTGTGGGCATTATATGACATAGGTGCAACTTACACACATGGAGGCAAAAACACTCATACACTTAGTTAATTAATTAAAAATTTAAAAACATACCAGTCTCACTCTCTAACGGGGAGGGAGTCTGGTATCTCTCACCCTCTGAGGTACCCTCTGCTTCATGTGTTTGATGCTGTTGGTGCTAGGAGAGTGGAGAAGTTGTGGCTGTTCATGCTGACACCTAGAAGAGTGTCTGGGACACATGGCCTAATTGAAAGAAGCTCTTAGGGTTGCTCCAAGCCAGCACTCTGTGGGATTCATATTCTGTCCTCTTACATTTTTGCTGAAAGAACTGGTCACCAGGAGTTCTCCGCTACAGAGAGGACAGATGTATGTATGTGTGTGTGCAAGGAAGAAGCTAACGCATACTGCAGACCAGACAGCTGTGAGGATGTGGGGACCCACAGTGCAATGAAAACACAGGCTTTCAACAGACTCCAATGGACTTGAGTCAGCTCTGTGGGAGCCTCACTTACCACGCAGTGGGATGGCTGAGCTGATGGGCTTCACTTGCCCCCACCCACATCCTTGGCTCCTGCTTCTTTACCTTTGATGCTCTGCTCCTCACTCTATCCTTCCCTCAGGAAAATGGCTGACTGTGCCCAGCTGCTGGAGGTAGATGACATGGTAAGGCTGGCTGTGCCTGACTCCAAGTGTGTCTACACCTACATCCAGGAGCTGTACCGCAGCCTTGTGCAGAAGGGCCTCGTGAAGACCAAAAAGAAATGAGCAGATGGGGCCCAGCTGACAGCTATGACCTCGAGGTCAAGTCTGCTTACCACGCAGTAGAACCCAAGTGCACATGGCACCAGTGTCAATGACATTAAAAGTACTTTTGCAAAATCTATCTTGTTCCTGAGTACACACACACACACACACACACACACACACACACACACACACACAACTTTTGTAAAAACTATCTCTTTCCTGAGTGCACACACACACACACACACACACACACACACACACACACACACTCTAAGTGGTGGCCAAAAATAGAAAAGAAGACTGCATTTGGAGCCATGAGTGGCACATTTGCCAGATCTCTCCCTCTCTCTCCCCATGTCCCCCCATGGGCAAGGGGAGGGGGTGGGGGCTGGGAACAGGACTTCTAGGCAGGGAGTCAGCAATCTAGAAATCTCTCTCACCAAACTGAGCTGCTGTGGTCAAGGGGATGCTCTTGAGATACCCCACATTTTGACTCAGTGGTTTCCAACTGAGGCAAACAGAAAGGTAATCCCTCTCACTCTGTTTTTTTGTTTGTTTGTTTGTTTGTTTTTTGCCTTATGTTGCCCACTGCTTATCACAACGAACCCCTGAGCTGACTGCATTTTCCTGCTACCAATTCAGTCTGGCTCCACCAGTCATTTGGAGCATGTCTGCCAATGAAAGTGGCTCATTAAAATATAAAAACGAACAAACGAAAGAACCCATGGAGGCGTAGTGGCATAGACCTGTAATCCCAGGCTGCTTTAGAGGCTGAAGCAGGAAGATTGCAAGTTCAAAGCCTGCCTGGGCAACTTAGTGAGATCCTGTCTCAAAACAAAATACAGCTCAGTTAGTAATAAAGGACTGGTGTGGCACGGAGATGCTGTGGATTCAATCTAGCACCTGGGGAGGAAAAGTTAGTTTGGCTGCCATGGCTATAGGAGGAAGTACAGTCTCTGCTGATTGGCAGAGTGGACATGCCTAATCCATTCATGTGCTCCGTTTCTTCCCTGTAAAATAGGGGTAGGCAGTTGAAGGCTTCCTGAGGATGGCCTGCACACCTTTCTTTATAACATGAGAAAAATCTGCAGGAAGCAGGGTCACACTGTTTGTTAGATGGCAGATAAAATCCCAACCAGAACTCTCTTGTCTGATAAAAACACCCAATCCTTGGGCCCCAAAAGTTGGCTCAGCAGGTAAAAGATGCAGGCTACCAATCCTCCTGATGACCTGAATTCAATCTCCAGGACCCACATGGCGGAGGGAGAGACCCAACTGCCACAATTTGTCCTCTGACCTCTGCACATGTGCCATGGTGCTCTTGCGCATGCACACACACACACACACACACACACACACACACGCACGCACGCACACACACACACACGCACACACACACACACAAAATAAAAACATAATAAAAACTTTTAAAAAAGAAACAAACTGCTCTGTCCTCTCATGGAAAATTTACCTCCAGAATTCATCTGTAAAGTTAGTGGCAGACAAGCACATGCATTTTTGTGACGCCTTGGACTGGAGTTGGGGGGAATTACATGCATTCCAGCTTGAAGCTCAGCCTCCAGAAATGTAGCTAACCAGTCAGATAGCAAACTATCTAGAAATCTGAAGTCCGATTTCTGGCACAGAATTTTGACTTCATTTTGAGATTCATCCGTGGAAAATAAAGGGTTTAATGCTTAAATCTGTTTACAAGTTTGGCTAATTCCCATCATTCGATAGTGAATTTGTCACTTTCTATATACTCTGCCTTCCACCTATATCCCCGCCCTTTTCTCTTTACCCTTTGTTGCCTGGTCCCTGAGGGATTTATTTTCCTGCTAGCTGGCTTTGATGGTGATTACAGATGGCAAACCTAACTTCCTGTGGTTCTGGAAGAGGCCAAGAGTGTGTGAAGGGTACACCTGCAGCCAGGTGACCCGAGGAATGAGCACATACCACCCTTTGGCATCTTCCCCCACCACCGTGTCCACAAACTAGCAGCTATGAAAGAAAACTCCAGCACAGGATGATCCTCCAGAGGAGGTGATGTCATCCAGCAGGCAGAAGATCTAGGCAGAGAGGGCTCAGAACCAGAATTAAGAGGGTCGGTCCACTCCGAACTGGAGGGTGAACTCCTCAGCTTTCTTCCTGAACAGCTCCGGGTTACTGGTCAGCAAGTCAGCGAGTTCCACCCGCACAGGCTCCTCCAGATTTGGTCTATTCACCAGCACACTGAGAGCCTCCAGGACTGGGGAGAGAGCACAGAGTAGGGCATCAGGGCCAAAGGGAGCCCTGTGAGGAAGCAAGAGCTACCCATTCCCAGATCTCCCAGAAACCATTACTCTGAGGACCCCAAGAGGGTTCCATCTCTTAGGATGGCACCAGAACCAAATCAGATGTCCCTCTCAATCTTGGTAACACCCAAAGCTCCGGTTCCTAGATCAGTGGTTCTCTTTTTCTTTTCCTCCCTCCCTCCCCCCTTCTTTCTCTATTTTACACAAGGTTTTGTTATGTAGTCTAGGCAGTCATCAAATCTCAGCTCCTCTACCTTAACCTCCTAGGTGATGGGATCAGAGGCCTGCACCACCACATCTGACACCAGCACTAGAGTTTTCAAACAACTATGGGCTATGACTTCAAAGAAGCTTGTCATAAGATCGGTATTATTTCCTGGACCTCCTCTCACTTTAACAAGAATCACTCTGGTTTTCACTTATATTGAGATTTCAAAGAAACTTTTATTTGGTGAAAAATGAGTTCCAAGCCTAAAGACTGAAAAACACTCTACCAGTGGCTTTTAATCACAGCTGCCTTTGGGAACCCTGGGGAAGGTGGCAGTCAATCCCCTTAGGCAGCTACACTAGCACAGCTCCAGTGGAGAAAGTATCACCAGCCACTGCTCATCCAAGGACGTTCCTACCCCCACCCTAAGGATCCCTGTTTCCCTGGGTTAAGAATCCTAATCTGAAGCCAGGCGTGGTGGCGCATGCCTTTAATCCCAGCACTTGGGAGGCAGAGGCAGGCAGATCTCTGTAAGTTCAAGGCTAGCCTGGTCTATGTAGTAAGTTTCAGGTCACCTGGGGCTAGAGGGAGAAAGAATCTTAATCTGGTCCAGACAAGGTTGGCACATGGATTAAACCCACAGAGAGAGCTTCACTGTCCAACATGGTCACCACTGGCTACATGTTATTTAAATTTAAATTAAAGAAAGATCAACACAATCAAGAATTCAGTTGCAAGCCAGTCATGGTGGCCTTTAGTACCAGCATTCGGAAGGCAAAGGCAGACAGATTTCTGTGAGTCCAAGACCAGCCTGGTCTACATAACTCGTTCCAGGCCAGTTAAGAGACAGGAGACTCTGTCTCAAAACAAAACAAAGCAACAAAAAGAGAATTTAGTTGCATCAACCACATATGGACTACCTTGTTGGCCAGTAGAGACATATCCACACTTCCAACACTAGAGAAAGTTCTGTTGGATGACAATATTCTAGAATCAGGCATGTACAACTTGTGGCCATATGCAACTGAGAAGCTATAAATGTGGCCCAACACAAGATCATAACCTTATTTAAAAGATGAGTTCTATTTTGCAAATGTTTTTGGAACGCCACTGCTCAGTTCCTGAGCGTGAACTTTGCAGACAGCATTGTTTTGTAATGTCAAAGGTTGGGTACACCTCCTAGATTCAGCCAAGTTCTGCTGTAGGACCTTAGTCAACTGCTCTACCTTTCCTAGACCTGTGTCTCTGTTTACTCAATGGGGATAATGGGAGCACTATCTCATGGGATAAGATGATGGCCCTCTTATCCCAAGACCTTCCTTCTGCAGCCAAGTTGCCTCTCTTTCCTATGAACTGTGGCCAAGTTTCTCAGTCCCACCAGGTGTAGAAACAGAAGCAGGAACACATCAATCATCCACTGCCATGGGAAGCATCTTTCCATCTACCCCAGGTTCATTTGGGGGGGTGTGTAGAGACAGGGTCTCCCAGGCTGACCTTGATCTCACAGAGATCCATCCACATGCCTCTGCCTCCTGAGTGTTTGGATTACAGACATGTGCCACCATGCTTGGAAGACTCACTTAAAAAAAATTATATTTATGTGTATGGATGTCTTGCCTGTTTGTGTGTGGGTGTCCACAGAGGGCAGAAAGGAGGCAGGGAGGGAGGGCAGGAAGAACCACTGATATAATTATCTAATGCTACCACGTGTGTGACTGGTGCTGAGGAGGCCAGAAAAGGGTATCTGATTCCCTGAACTAGAGTTACAAATGCTTGTAAGCTGCTATGTGGATAGTGGGAACTAAACCCAGGTCCTCTGCAAGAACAGCCACTGCTCTTAACCACTGAGCCATCTCTCCAGCCCCTCAATCATTTTTTAAAGATTTATTTTTATTAATGTGTGTGTGTGTGTGCGTGTGAGCACGTGCATGCGTGCGATGTGTATTCAAGTGCCCACAAAGACTAGAAGGGGTCATCAAGTCCCCTGGAGCTGGAGTTGCAAGTGGTTGTGAGCCACTAGACCTGGTTGCTAAGAACCAAACTTGGGTCCTCTGGAAAAGCAGTTAGTGCTCTTAACAGCTGAGCCATCTCTCCAGCCCCCTCTGTCCTGAAATCTGACACAGGCCCAGGCTGGCCTCAAACTTGTTATGTAGTAGACAATGGGTGACCTTATAAAATTTAAATTTATTATTAGTGTGTATGTATGTGTATATGTGTGAGTGAATATTAGTGCAACATGCATGTGTAGGGGTCAGAGGACAATGTTCAGGAGTCAGTTCTCCCCTTCCACCATGGGATCTAGGGACTGAATTCAGGTCATTAGGCTGGCTAGGCAGGCTCCCAGGAGGATGACCTTGAATTTCTGAGCTTCCCTGCTTCCACCTCCTGAGTGCTGGGATTACAGATAAGCTCTACCACACCCAGGTATGTGGATATGGAGATCAAACCTAGGACCTAGTGCATGCTAGGCAAGCCTTCTATTGACTGAGTTACATGTTCAACCCTATCCATCTCTTTCAGACCTTTAACTCAAAATAAGCCCACCAGTCCCTCCATCTAGTAGCCCCCACCTGCATCAGTCCCTCCTCTGGGCAAGGCCCAGCCCCACCTTGGCAGATTTTGGTCTGAGGCTTCCAGTTCACATTGCTGATGAGGGGCAGACACACTTTCCCGTCCTCATCCACATTGGGGTGGTAGATCCTGGTGGTGAATCTCAAGGTGGGGGGCTTCAATGGATACTCCCTGGGAAAATCAATGCGCAGACTGAAGCCCTTGAGGTGGTAGGGAGGTTGGTCCTGTACAGAGAGAAACAGTTAAGCTCTGTCCTGAGGGTACAGATCTCCCAAGTTCTCCTTCTTCTGAGGATGTTGATCTGGGCTTCCCCCCCTTCCCCAGTCCCAGAGTCCCAGGCATCCTCTGCTCCAATCCCAGAAAGATATGAGCATCTGACCATTGACCCAGGTATTAAAGGAAGAACAGAATCACACAAGAGCACCGGCCTGGAAGTCAGAAAACTCTGACCCTGGGTTTTGCTGTCTAGACAAGAATGACTCAGCTCCCATCTCTGAACCTCAGTTTCCTCACTTGAATAAGTGGTGCAGAAACCCATGGTCACATAGACAACCCTGGTTAAACTCAGGGGGTCACAAAACAAAACCGACAGGAATGTGAGAAAGATTTGTAGAGAAAAGAGGAGGTAGATGGTGGGAGAGAAATGAAGAGAAGGTGGGAGATGTGGCCTGCCAGCACTCCATACACAGGTATGAACAGCCAGAAAACAAATTTAATAAAGAATGGGGGCTCTGGAGACATGGCTCAGGGGTTAAGAGTACTTGCTGCTCTTGCAGAGGACCCATGTTCAATTCCCAGCACCTACATGTAGTTCACAACTGTCTGAACTCTACTTCCAAAGGATCCAATGCCTTCTGGCCTCCACAGGCTCCTTTGGACATGTGGTGCACATAAACTAACACCTGCACACAAATAAATAAAGATTTGGGGCAGGAGAGATGGCTCAGTGGTTAAAAGTACTTGCAGCCAATGGCTGGGGGAGAATTGTTCCCTATAATTCTGCTCAACTATGGATCCCATGTGCTGCACTATCATCATGCCAAACAAGATATTCCTGCTGGTGTAATAGTGGAGCATCTAGTGTATGTGCAAGTAGCAAATTTTTCAATTGGATATAGTGCCTGCTCCTAGGGGTGGAACACACATCTGGTACTATAGACCAGGCCAATCTCCTGTGACAGGGGAGGATATAGGCCCCAGTGGGAAAGCCACTGCAACTGTTTTATTAGACAGATGTGATGTACCTGCTAAAGTGCCATCCAAGCATTTGTTTATGCTCATAGGTTAAGTTATTACAGCAGTTACTGTTTAAATTTCTTTTTTTTAAATATTTTATTGTTTTTTTTTTTAGTATTATTTTATGTGTGTGAGTGTATTGCCTGCATGTATGTAAGTGCATCTGTGTCCTGCATTGCCCATGGAGTTCAGAAGAGGGCATTGGATTCTCCTGGAACTGGAGTTAAGGACAGTTGTTAGCCACCATGTGGATGTGGGAATCAAATAGGGGTCCTCTGCAAGAGCGGCCAGTGCTATTAACTGCTGAGCTATCTCTCTAGCTCCTGTTTAGATGTTCTTCTTCTTGCTATTCGTGTTTTTTTTTAACCTTTAAAAAAGATCTCCATTTCATTTTAAAATATACTGTTTCTTACAGAAAGACTCATTGTTTTTGCTAATAGCACTTAGATGTTGGCACATGCATCTCTAATCTGTATGTATCTGATTATTACTAATCATGGTCAGGTACACTTGGATCCTTGGCACCTGTATATGGATATAAAGTCATCCAACAGATTTCAATGGTAATGTTTATCATCTCTACTACCTAACATGTCATAAATTTTTATGCTTCTTCCTCAAATATAACTCATTTTTTAAATTTGTTGATTTTTTTGTGTGTATAGCACATAGAACATCCCAATCTTATTCATCTATATACCCATTTCCCAGATGGCACCCTCCCATAGCCCCCTCTCCCCCACTAGAACCCTTTTACTCTGTCTTCCCTGCTACTGTCTGCTGTGGTGTCGGCACCACCAGCCGTTCCCCAGTACTTGTCCATCTGGTGAATCTAGTCAGCCTATCTAGAGGTCTTTGTTTTAGGAGGGTCAGCTCTTCCTCATCTAGCAGCAAGCTGTTGCCAATATTCCTTTATATAAGATTGGGGTCTGCTGTTCATTTTCCAGGTTCTATGCTGGTTTACTGTCTGGGAGTCACTTGGGCCACCCTGGCCAACAACTCAAAAGAAGGTATCTCCTGTCTGGCATTGTTTCTTGTTATGTAGTCTTTAGCTAAACATATGGACTCTTAAAAAATTATACTGGCCCCTTTAATCTTTGGTTATACTGTTTGTGTTTTTATAGTAGATGCAATCCCACTGAAATGGGCCAAAAGCTCATGGAAAGCAGATGATGCAGAGACCAGAAAGTTCAGTATCTTACTACAATGGGAGGAAGGTCATTCCACATCTACCACCCCCTCCAAGGCTCAAGGATTTTTGTGGTAGAGGTTGTCAGAAACAATGTAAGAGCTGGAGGAAGGGGTTAACTCGAAGTGTCCCCCGACCACTATGCCAGCAAGCTATAGTCACACCTCCTTCCCACACTCATCAAGGAGTTGGGGGGGGGTCAGTTACCCCTCACACCAAATCAGTTGACCTTAGTTGCATGTGGAGGAGGGGCTAAGGCCAAGAACACCATGAGGCACCTCTCTTGCCATTTTGTGCAGCTGTCAGGAAGTCACAAGATCTATGTTTGAGTGTAGACTTTCCAGCACAGCCATAAATGGGGGGGGGGTTCCCACTATTCTGTAAGTAACCACACACACTATGCTCTGGTAGTAAGCCCAATAAACTCATTAGGATTTTCAAAAAAAAAAAAGAACACAACTAATGGAAACCTCCATTATTCCACCAAAGTTGATCCCATGTTGAGAAATCCTTTGGTCTTTGATTTCTTATTCTTATTTTTCCCCCTTAAACTTCACTGTATATATATATTTTTTTATATAACCTGCTCCAAGTTATTTCTAGAAAAAATGTGTTTAAAATTGCCTCTCTTTGGAATAATAAAAATATTTTAAAATAAAAAAATATTTTAAAAAGAACACTTGCAGCCAATTCCCAGCATCCACATAGAGGTTAACAACTGTCCTTAACTTCAGTTCTGGGTGATCCAGTGCCTTTTTCTGGCCTCTGTGGGCACTGAACACACATGGTTCACTTACACACATGCAGGTAAAAGACTCATAAACATAAAATAAAAATCAGTAAAAAAATTTGTTTTGGTGTTTTTGAGACAGCATCTCCCTATAGTCCCAGCTGTCCTGGAACTCACTATGTAGACCAGGCTGGCCTCGAACTCCCAGAGATCTGCCTGCCTCTGCCTCCCAAGTGCTGAGATTAAAGGCGTGTACCACCAGGCCCGGCCAGTAAAAATTTTTTAATGGTACAGGTACTATGGAAAACATTAAAGTAGTTCCTCTAAAACTTAAAATATGATCTAACAATTCCACTTTGGAACATATTCCTTGAAGAATTAAAGGTAAAAATGAAGTTCAAAGCAACATTATTCTCAATACCAAAAAGGTGGAGGTAGGCCAAGCATCCATTGATGGACGGAGTAAAAAAATGTGATGTGTATGGACAAAGGACTATATTTAGCTTTAAAAAGGAATGAAATTTTATACATGCTACAGCATGAATGAACCTATAATACGCCATATGAAGTGAAATAAACGAGAGAAAAGTGGCAGATGTTGTATTGATGGCACTTGAATGTGATACTTAGAATAGTCAAATCCTAGAACTAGGTGCTGGAGAGATGGCTCAGTGGTTAAGAGCACTGGCTGCTCTCACAAAGGACCTGGGTTCGATTCCCAGCACCCACATGGTGGCTATCAATCATTCTTAACTCCTGTTCCAGGGAACCTGATGCCCTCCTCTGTCTTCTTCCATACATTCAGGCATATCACTCATATGCAAAAAATTTTTTTAATAAAAATAAATAAAATAAATAAATAAATAAATAAATAAAAACAAATCAAATCTTAGACCTAGAAAAGTGGTTGTCAGGTGCTGGAGGAATGGAGAGAGAGCAAATGATGGGAGAGTTCCAAATAGTGGTTGAGAGTTCTAGAGAGGGATGGGGTGATAATCACACAGTGTTTTGAAACAAGCAAACAAAAAACCAAGGTGGTCTAAATTTTGTCAAAAATATATTAGACTACCTTGGTTTTGAAGACAGGGTCTCTAACTGACCTGGAATTCACCAAGTAGACCAGGTTGGCCAGTGAGCCCAAGGGATCGCTGTGTCTCTGCCTCCCTAGCTCTGGGATTAAAGCACATACCATCACACCCAGCTTTTTTACGTAGGTGCTGATGATCAGACTTAGTCTTCATGTCTGCCAGGCAACTGCTACCCAGTGAGCCACTTTCCTAGCCTGCCTTCTGCTTTTTGATGCTGTTTGTCTACCAAACTCTCTTTGGTGAGCTTGGAGGAAGTGGTCTCCTACTAAATCCAAAGATCTGTTGGTGTCTTCATCAATCTGCCTGGATCTCAGAAGCAATTGGTCCAGAGACAGAGACTCCACCCACCATAACCTCCAGAAAGAGACCCCAGGGCAGAGGGAATCTCTCCTAGTCCTGCCCTCCCTGTTAACATCACTGGAAAAAGTCACCCCCCATCCAAAGCCGTGGCCCCCAAGGATACTCACAGGCAGGAGGAGCGCGTGCCACACCAGCACATTGGCATCTTCACTGGACAGGTGCCGCAGGTAGGGGGGAGGTTGCTTCAGAAGGTCCTCCAATTCCTGTGGGGCACACAACAATGGGTCAAGTGCTCAAGGTCTAAGCCCCTTTCCCTCCCTGCCCAGAAGCAAGCCCAAACAGGGCATCCTAGGAACAGAAAGCATAAAATCAGAGGCCCCATGTAGAGAACTTAGGAGGTATGAGACATGGCACTGAGTGAATTACCTGATTTGGGCCTTACCACAACCTCTGTCAGGTGTCAAGAACTTGGGAATAAACTCCCTCGAGAGACTTTCTACTGCCCTCCCCAAAAGCAAGGCACTTGACTCTATCCTCTGTCCTCTCTAAGTCACTAGACTCTAATTCTCCCCCCCCTCTCTCTCTCCCTCTCTCTCTCCCCATACACTACTTACTGAGTGTCCAGTACAACATGCATTGGCAGAATGAACAGCAAAGATATCATCCAACACTTCCCACACCACCATACCAGTCCTGGGGCAAGGGACCCACTCAAGCTGCCCACCATGCAGGTTAGCAAGTAGGCAAAGAGTGATTCACCTTCCCAGAAATGTGTCCCAATCACTTGGACATCCCTTAATTGTCCCAAAACAATTTACTGAGCATCCTCTGCTGACCCTAAGACAGGACCCAGCCCACAAGAACTTCTTTAGAGAAATGGAGGAAACATGAACAGGAAGATTTGAATAGTGTGGGTACACACAGTCAGGAAGGAGAACACAGGGAAGCAAGAAAGCTTTGCCCATTTGGCATGTGGTGAGATAGGCCACGTGGAGTGGGTCAGAGCCCACCCGGCAGAAAAGCAGAGACATTCCAAGGCACAGGGCCTAGACAGGACATGTGTGTACAGGTGTCCCGTGGAACATTAACAGTTATTGCAGGAAAGCCAGGCATGGTGGCGCATCCCTTTAATTTCAGCACTCGGGAGGCAGAGGCAGGAGGATTTCTGTGAGTTCAAGGCCAGCCTGGTCTACACAGTGAGTTCCAGGCCAACTGGGGCTCCAGGGAGACCTGTCTCAAAAAGACCAAAAAAAAAAAAAAAAAAGTTATTACAGGAAAAGGGTTCCATGGTCAAGTACATTTGGGAAAACTAAGCTGAATAAGTTTCTTAATGGCAAGACTTCCCAGAGGTTTGGGCTTGGGTTTGTTGATTGCAGTACTGGGATTGGAACTTAGGACCCTGAGCATACTAAATTGTATCCTACTACTGAGCCACACCCTAGAGGTCCCAGAACCATTACTAAGCTATGGTGCATGTGACCAAAGGACCCCATCCATCTTAGAATCCAGCCTATGACTCTAGATCTTCTCATTTTGAGTGAGGAGGGAATGAAAAACATTCACAGGCACCTCAGTCCTGAATGGGTACAAATTAGTGGTTTTTATCCAGTGACATTTTTTACTCACCAGGGACATGTGCCAATATCTAGAAACATTTTTCATTGCCACAAATGGGGTGAGTGCTGCTATAATTCGGTATGTAAAGTCCAGAGATGCTGACAAAACACCCTGCAAAGAACTATCTGGGGCCAATGAAATGGCTCAGCAGGTAAAGGAGCTTGCCACCAAACCTGACAACCCAAATTTGATCCCCAGAACCGACATGGTGAAGATAACCAATTCCTACAGACTGCTCTCTGACCTCCACATGCCCACTGTGGCCCTCCCACACCTTCCACACATACATACACATAAAATAAATTAATTACAATGTAATAAAAAGTTTTTCAAAGATTGACTCCAAATGTCAATAGTGATAAAGTTGAGACACCCTCCTGTAAATATAGGCAGAGAGAAAGCTCCCCTAACACAGTGAGGCTGAGGAGGGGTCCTTCATTGGGGTGAACCATCTGAACTTTCTCTCCCTTTCCCCAATATGTATACAGCCCACATTCCCCTTCTGTTGCTCAGCCTGTATTCCATTTCTGTTCACACTAACAAACTGTTCTTGTGCTTTCTTCTTAGAGTCCATGACCCCTCATTTACCTATTATGCCAAACCACAAACATCTGGTACTATGAATCCTAGTTTCAGCATCCTTTGTGACTTGGGCAAGATTGAAGGCCAAAGTAGAACAGAAATCTAAAATGGACATTTTCTGGGCTGGGGATGCAGTTCAGTTGACCAAGTGCTTGCCTAACATGTACAAGGGCCTGGGTTCGATCCCCAGCTCTGCATAGACCTGATACGATATGGTGGTGCATGCATGCCTGTGATCCCAGCATTTCAGTGGAGGCAGGAGGATGAAGAAATTTAAGGTCAATCTCAGCTACATATCGAGTTCAAGAACAAGATCAGCCTGGGCTACATAAGATCCTGTCTTAAAAAGTAGAAAACAAACAAACAAAACCAGAAAGGACATTTTCTCTCTTACTATAACTGGGAACACTTAGATTTTATCTGCTGTGGTGAATTCTGCCATAACTTACACAAAGCCTTACTGCTAAAACCTAAGTTAATACACACAGCTCTTCCCAAGGCCTGCTAAAAAATCACCCGACTTAGAGGAACAGAAAGTGAAACTCAAGAGGTCATTAAAAGGTCTGTGGGTTGGAGTCTCCTCACCAGGAGCTCAAACCCCAGCCCCATGTATCCCTGGGCAGCCACGTAATTTCGTCTGAGGGAGATATAGTTATCTCGCGGAGTTGCTGTGAGAATCAGATGCAATAACTGATGTAAACTGCCTGTCACGTAAGGATTCTGGAACAATAGGGTCCGTGACTCAGTGGGTCTCTTCTGGAGAACAAATGCATGAGTATGGAGATGCAAGAATCAAGCAGAGTTTTACTAAACCAGCTAGCTGGGGCCGACAGTCCTTCCAAGACATGCAGGTCTGGTTAGAGCGATCGACCCTGAGGCAATTTTAGGTAAAGATTATATAGGCTCCCACAACTGTTACACAAAAGCCCGCATTTATACAGCCAATAGTTTCAAAGCAAGCATTTCACAAACCAATAACTTTAAAACAAGAAAAATGTTACAACTCCTTTCAGGTGTCTCAATCGGGGAGAGATGGTTGGTATGTGCCTGACACGGCTCTTTCCTATTATCTTGTGTAAGCAGACATGTCTACATGACATGACACAGAACAGGTCAGGCTCCGGGGGCTGTAGCACTTGCCTCTATCTCCGGATGCCTGTGTCTCCAGTTGAGTTAATTGGTTACAAGCAGTAAATTTAAACAAGTAAATTCAAGCAGTAAATTCAGACAAGCAGTATATTCCAACAAGCAGTAAATTCCTCTTTCCCTAACAACACCCAGCCCCATCTCTTCCCTATGAGGTAGCAAAGACTTTCTGCTCCATTTTACACCAAGCTCCAACCAGATTTCAGGTCTGGGCTCCGCCTGCTCTGGGCTTCGCAGTTTTAGAGCATTTTTTTGCCCCAGAAGCTGAAGACAACACCCTTCCCGTGTTCTCTCCTGAGTCAGCCTTCTCCTCTACTCTTCATATTGGAGGGGCAGTTTGGAAATTCCCAAGGCCTGGGAGTGCCCGCCTGGCTCACCAGCGTTACTCCCTCACTAGCCCCAATCCTGGCTCCACCTCAGGTCTCCAAGCATCCCTCCAGAAACTGTTCCCTTTCCACTTTGTAGATCTAATTGGAATTAAAGTTCAAAGGGTACAAGGATTTTTTTGTTTTTATTGTTCTTTTTCTGCCCCTACCACCTGGCACTGGGTCAGCACAGAGTAGGTATTTGCCATCTGTGGAGGAACTGCATCCAAGCTATCTACTCTACGAGTAAATTAGAAACGAATGCTTTTTAATCCAGGGAATAGTCTGTACATTTTCTTCCCAGGGACGGCCCCTCCCCCACCTCCAACAGCATCTCTTGCTCCTGAAGACTGGTAGGATGGGTATTAAATTATGGGACCACCCACTAAGCACAGCAACATTAGCAGAATCCGTCTGTTCCTGAGATGTAGGTATTTCATTGATGCCTTTTCAGAGGAAGTGAAACTGAAACCAGTTTGGGAAAGCTACCTCATCTTCACCACCCCCAGTACAGCTCGGGAAACTGTGGCAACCGGGTTCCACACGTCCCCATCCCCACCCCCAAATTCCAGTCCTGCTCTCCCCTACCCTCCCTCCATTAGGGAGAGGGAAGGCACTCCTACCTAGAGTTCAGCCTGCTGTGTACCCAAATGCTCTGAGAGACACGGAGGAGATGGAGGGCCCCCCAGAGAAAAATCATCCTACTTGTGTTTACCTTCGCCACTCGCTTGCTGGCCGACATCTCCGGTTCGAGCTTGGGGCAGCCGGGGACTCCGACAGGACCATCCACACCTGGCACCAGGATCACACCCCCTGAGCCCCGCCCACGCTCCGCTCCACCCCCGCAGACTCCGGCTGCGTAAACCTGTTCCCCATCCGGTCAGTGGAGCCCGGGAGGCCGCGGACGGGTCCCAGGACCACGGTCTCGGATCCCAGGAGCTCCCGCTCTTTGTGGATCTGATACCAGGGTCTTGGAGCGCACTGAACTGCTTGATCTCTAGGTTCAGCTTGGGGGCCTCGCGCACCCGGGAGCCTGGAAGGAGTCGGTCCATCCAAATTCAGTCCCCAGCCTCCATCAGCCTCCTCCAGGCCTCTCCAAGGACACGCTCGCCCTAGGAACAAACGCAGCTCTGCTATAGGTCCCTCGGTGGCCTCCAGCACAAGACCGCCGCCCCGAGCTCCTTCTCTACAGAGATTCCCAGAACCCCCGGCAAGTCACTTGCCTTTTGTGGGTTCGGTGCCCCATCCTTAAAACGAGTGGGGGAAGGGGCAGTGTAGACTGCATGCCCTCCAAGGACCGCTCCCTTAACTGTGGGGGATTCTTTGTGTGGTCTTGCATTGGATGGAGAAGCTATGATGGTTTCTTTTAGGGGGTGTGGTGCAGAGCATCACAAGAGGGCGCTGATGGACCCATTCTCGTTAAGCCTTAGGCGCTCTGTGGACCTGAAGTTCTCACTAAGTATCTAACAAGTGCCTGCTGTATGGAAACCGATGGGTAGGGAAAGCTCCAAGACAGATTTCAGGAACCCACTATATTTCACCACCACTAATCTTGAACCTGTGTGCCCTCATGAACAGCCAAGAGTCTCCACCCCTTTGCGCAAGGGCAGAGATCCTCTTCCTCCCCCGCCGAAGTAGAGGTCACTGTGGAATAGCAGACCCTCAAACACTGAACAGTAACTGGAGAAGAGTTCTGCTGAAGTGATGAAACTGGTTGAGCCCACCTTCTTCACCTTACCCCTCCCAGCCTAGAAACCAGTATATTTTGAACCTCAAGTTTGAACTAGTACCTTTGGTAATTTTTTTCTAAGTGTCTCAGAACTAAAGGCTTTCTCTGCTCAAATGTGGGATGTGTTTGCAGAACAATCCTGTTTATTCAACAGCTTTAACCCGACAGCTTCTTTGTGCCTATGATGAACAGGACACCACCAGCAATCCCTAAATACAGGTAGAGAATGAGGGAACAGAGTGTCTGGACCCACATCTCTGTCAATAATATTAAACACTTAATATCGAATGCCAGGCGCTGTCTAGGGAACGCAACAGGCTGAGAAAGGGGGTCTCTGTCCTCTGAGGAGCTCTCACACAGTTGAAACAGGAGAATTCAGCCTCTGAATTTTTAATGATAATAACATATTGGAATCAGAGGGTCATCTGATCCGGTTGTGGAGAAAGGCAGAGGTTTCCTGGAAGAGAGGAAGTTCCAAGTTAGTATGCTTGATAAGACCCTGGAAGGAAAGTGTTCCAAGAAGAGGGAACAGTGTGAGCATCTGCATTGTGACAGCCTGCGGGGAACCTGAACTGTATCCTAGTGTGAAGGGCAGATGTCTACCTGTGCTCCCTGGTCCACCCTTCCTTCCCTCACAGCCTTGTATCCTTATGTAAATTCAGTCATCCTGGTATGGGTCCTGAACTAGCACTCATACACAAATAAATAAATAATAATTTTTTAAAATTTTATTTTATGCATATGAATGTTTTGCCTGCAAGTTTGTATACCTGCAAGTAAGTACACCTGTGTCGTGCAATGCCCGTGGAAGCCAGAAGAGGGCATCAGATCCCCCGGAACTAGAGCTACAGATAGACACCTTGTGGGTGCAGGGGTACCAAACCCTGGTTCTCCGCATGAGAGCAGTCAGTGCTGCTAATCACTGAGTCATTAATAATATTTTTTTTTGGTCTTTTTGAGACAAGGTCTCCCTGTAGCCCCAGCTGGCCTGGAACTTACCATGTAGACCAGGCTGCCCTTGAACTTAGAGATCTGCCTGCCTCTGCCTCCTGAGTGCTGGGATCAAAGGCATGGGCCACCATGCCCAGCTAATAATAATTTTTAATTGGCATATAACATTGTGCATTTGACAGAGTACAGTGGTGTGATAATTTAATGTATGTATGCAATGTGTAATGATCATAATAATTAGTATTCCATCTCAAACATTTATCAATTCTTTGTGTTGTGGAGTCTATAAACTCTTCTTTTCTAGTTCTTTATAAAATATATAATGAATTTGTTAACTGCCCTACCATGCAATAGAAGAAAATAATTTGGGGCTAGAGAGATGACAAGGTATGGGCCGCCAAGCCTGACTATCTGAGTTCCAGCCCAGAGACCCACATGGTGGAAGGAGGGAACCAACTCTTGCAGACTGTCTTCTGACCTCCACATGAACACCATAGTATGTGCAGAGAGAGAGAGAAAGAGAGAATACAATCCAAGCAGGGGTCATGGGTAGATACTCATTGTTACTATATTTATTTTTTATTCTAATTTTAAAAGAAATTAAAGTATATTCATAGGCCCCCTAAACATACCCTGGGCTCAAGGTCCTGAGCCTGGCTGGCCCAGATTCATTCTATTTGTGGTGAGTGCTATCGATTTTCCGTTTATAGAAGCGTTGTCCTGTTCCCTTTCCATACCAGTGTATTCCAGTAAACAAAATGAACCCGTTAAACAACATGAAATAATAATATGAACTGGGTGGGCAGGAATATGGCAGAAACACAGGTCCTTCATTGCACTGAGGAGAACAGTCTGAGGTCTGGAGACATACCTCCTCGTGGAGATGGAACAGGCAGTCCAGAGCCTCATCTCAACCCTTCAGGACATGTGTTGAAGCATCTCAGCTGCCCCAAAACATTCCTGGGAAATGGCTGAGCTGTCCCCAGTGGCCTTGGACCATCTCCACCAGGATGTGGGAAATTCCTGAGTTACCCCATAGCCTGCTCTTGCCAAGCCCCAGGGCCTGGGGAGTCAGCTTCCTGGAGGACCCTGTGAGGAAACGACTTCTGATAGGGCTTTGTCTCCATCAGTGTTTCTAAATTGCTCAAAGAGGCCAAGTCAAAGAAAAAGTCTCTTTAAGTTCAGACTGTCACACACACAGAGAGAGAGAGAGAGAGAGAGAGAGAGAGAGAGAGAGAGACTTTGAAGAAGAGTAGGTGCTAGAGAAATGGCTCAGGGGTTATGAGTACTTTCTGCTTTTTCAGTTCCAAGCACCCGCATCCCCACGAAGCTGCTCACAGCTACCTGTAATTCCAGATCTAGGGTATCCACTGCCTTCTTCTGGAGCCATGAGCGCATGCGCTTATGAGCACACACACACACACACACACACACACACACACACACACACACAAAAAAACGAATAAAAGTTAAAATGAATAGGGGCTGGAGAGATGGCTCTGTGGCTAAGAGCACTGACTGTTACTGCAGAGAACTGGTTCCCAGAACCCACATGGTGGCTAACAACCCTTCTTAACTCCAATTCCAGGGGATCTGACTCCCTCCTCTCACCTCCAAGGGCATTGCATGATGTGGATGCACTTATATACACGGAAGCAATACACTCATACATATAAAATAAAAAATAGCTGGGCATGGTGACCCACCTTTAATCCCAGCACTCGGGAGGCAGAGGCAGAGGCAGACAGATCTCTGCAAGATCGAGGCCAACCTGGTCTACATAGAGAGTTCTAGGCCAGCTGAGGCTACAGGGAGACCCTGTCTCAAAAAGATCAAATAATAAATAAATAAATAAATAAATAAATAAAAATATTCTAAAGATTAAACTTAAAAAAGAGTTGGGGGCTGGAGAGATGGCTCTGTAGTTAAGAGCACTGACTGCTCTTGCAGAGGACTTGGGTTCGATTCTCAGCACCCACATGGCAGCTAGCAACCATCTGGAATTACAGTTCCAGGGGATCCAACACCTTCTTCTGACTTCCTCTCAGGCATTGCATGACACAGGTATACTTACACACATGCAGGCAATATATTCATACACATAAAATAATAAAATTAATTAAATTAAATTTTAAAAGAGTAAATTAAGCTGGGCCTGGTGGTACATGCCTTCAGTCCCAGCACTCAGGAGGCAGAGGCAGGCAGATCTCTATGAGATTGACACCAGCCTGATCTACATAGTCAATGCCAGGCTAGCTGGGGCTGCAGGGAGATCCTGTCTCAAAAAGGCCGAGAGAGCGAGAAAGAGAGAGAGAGAGAGAGAGAGAGAGAGAGAGAGAGAGAATTAGCATTCTGACTGGGGTGAAAGAAGCTTCTTCAAAGGCCTGAAGACCGACTTTTACCACCGAAGTAACCAATCCTGACCAGAGGACCTGACATCCTAGAGGTGGACAGAAGAGCCCTTGGCCCTTGACTATCCTATCCCTGCCATCCCCCGGGGTTTTGCTCCTGCCTGCTTTTCCTGTTTAACCTAATTGGGGAAGACTGAAGAGAAAGTCCAAAGCTTGGTGAGAGAGCCTGAACCACCAATGGGTTAGTTTTCTAGGCCAGTTCTCCAGATGACAAATGTGAATTGTGGTAAGAGATGAAATATGTATGATCCTTGAAAATGCAGGCAGATGTGGGTCCGAGCAGCTCGGTGGCTTGAGGCAAGGCCCAGAAAGGTCCCTCAGAAGTTTCTATTAACTGAAAAAAATCAGCCAGGCTTGAACCTCTTTTTCTTGGCATGTAGTATGTGTACCTGTGTGCATGCAGATACGTGTACATGAGGAAGCCAGAGGTTGATACTGGGTGTCTTCCACTGTCCCTCTCTGCCTTACCTTTTGAGACTCTTAAATGAACACTAAGTGTGCAAACCAGGCATGAAATTCCAGTGATAGGATCCAGTGAGGCTGGATAGAAAAATAGTACATTCTACTCAGCAATATGACCCTATTTATGAAGTTTGCTTCATTTTTGCCAAAAGACCTTTTTCCTATAGTACACATGTACACACAGACAGCTCATGTTAATGTCTAAATGTTTGACTTAATCAAGCACTGTTTTTTTATTTAAAAAATTTTTATTAACATTGCTGTCTTAAAAAAATAACACGATTACAGTAAAGAACTTTGTATAGAGGTTGGAGAATTTGGAAAGGGAGTGAATGGCAAACTCACATTACAGTAACAGTGACAAATTTCACATTATTGTTGAAGCTTGATAGTATAGTTTTGTCAGTAAATAATACATATTACATATCTTAAGTTTGAGAGTTATATCGGTTTAGTTATTACGGTACTTTCTTTTTTATTTTTTGAGACAGGGTCTCTCTGTAGCCCCCAGCTGGCCTGGAACTCGCTATGTAGACCATGCTGGCCCCAAACTCACAGAGATCTGCCTGCCTCTCCTTCCCAAGTGCTGGGATTAAAGGTGTGGGCCACCACATCCATCAAGACTTTCTTTTTTTTTTTTTTTTTTAAACTTCCTAGACAGTGATTTTATCTCTAGAAGTTCAATTAGGTGTTTGTCATTTTCCATAGGTCATAGGTAAAGGCACACTGGAGCTGTAGAAGACTGATAGAAAAATAATGGAAAACCTCTTGGTGCCTGGGAATG